GAAGCGCGAGAGAAAGATTGTGCAGATGGCCCTTCATGGTGGTGATGCCTGCTCTCGCCCTAAATGTACCCTACAACGCTTACTGTTCTCTGATGAACGCAAAAACGATTGCCACAGCCAAGGCGAAGGTTCAGTGGAGGACTAGTACAGTAGAGTCTTTAGCAATTCAGACTCAGCTATACTCCGTTGTACCGTTATACCCGTACCATGTACAGGAGGTGGAAAGCATGCCCCCGGTGACCAGCGATTGCCTCGTGTCGGCTTCGTTCTCAGCGTTTCGTGGCTGTGAGCCTGTGAGCCGCAAGTGCAGCATTCCCCAAGCTCACGAGTGGAGCGAGTGGGACAACTGTGATCGATGCCGTCTCCTTAGCGCGTTCCCTCTTTGGGAGCTTGTGCTTCAGTGCCCGACCAACTCTGTGCTTTCTAGTTTTCACTTTCGGAAACTCAGACAGAAGTGCGGTGAGTGTCATCGTTTACAGAGCGACAGAGCGTTGCGGCATTTTGGGACACATGAGTGGACATATGTCTGAACTCCGGCTCTCTTGCGCATCAAAACGAGCTTTCCTTTGTCGTGTGAGCAGTGGGCATTGTGATGCATACTTGGCCAGGAAGGGAGAGGAAGGAGGGAAGGAAGGCCGCAACTACCTTGTAAGGGGCGGGGTTAAGAAATGCGACCTCGGACTGAAGAACTGTGATCAACCCTCATCGCCAGATGAGAGGGCATGTTTAAGGATGTGACCAACTAGTAACTAGTAGCTACAATGCGGCAACATACTGCAATCGCCGAATGAAGAGTGCGTGTAAAAACGGTCAGTGTGGACTGTGACTACGGCATCGTCTAATGCGGCGGTCAACCTTCATGAGGTGTTCTACTGGGTAAGCATGGGTAAGGGGCAAGCCGCCCATGCCCGCTGAAACCAAGCCGAGCCAGCCGACGCCAAGAGGGTCTGTTGATTTTGATCCAGTTTTGTTTTTCGGTATGTGCAGAGACTGAGGCAGTCAGTGGTCCGAAAAACATCACCTGTTACATGCGATGTGCTGCGAGCTTGATTGGCTTTTGATCACGCTGAGGCTGCGGTGGAGGGCAGTCGACGAGACATCGGGAGGCGGCTCCGGATGGCCACTGCCTGAACGAGAATGTGTTTTGCCGCATCCTCAGCAAGGTCCGACGCTTGCCTCAAGCTGGGGGTGCCTTTTGCCCTACGGACCTCAAGGCGATGCAGTGCCAAAAATTTCGTGGCATCGCATCGCTGAACCTTCCGTTGAGGGCTGTCTGCAAAGCAAGAGTACCATGGCAGGTGACACGCAGTTGCAACACCCAGTGGGAGGCCGAACTGGGCTCTCCAGGTGTCGTATTGTTCATCACTACCCACGTCATCGGCTTAATTGAAGGTCCTGTGAAGCTCACGACTGCAACGTGCAGCAGTGGGGTCAGTCTTGTGCTGAGTGTGCCATCACAGCCGTAGGCGAAGACATGCTTATATCAGGTCTGACAAGAGGTGGGGGCCTTGCTCCTCTCCTATAGCTGTGGGGCTGCGCAGCAGAGCAGGAGCCTGGCACTCAGCTACCTCCGATCCCCAGCCGTATAATTTACACGAGTTTGGATATCTAGGGCGGCACATCGTCAGCTTGCGAACCCTTGACAGCATTGGTGCAGCTCCTACTCGCGAGAGTACTGCCCTCCTGCTGGCACATAGGGAGGAGATGAGGACCGCAGGTTTTGGGAGGTTGTACAGCGGAAGCGATGTCTAAACTTAAGACGACCGTGCTCTGGACACGAAGCGACATGTTAGATTGTTAACAAGCTGGTGGAAAGCTAAGTAAAAGCTGGCCGAGGGTAGTTTCGGTGTCGGATCCACGGGAGTTCAATGGCGCTGAAAAGCAGCCAGAAAAACTCCAGAACGGCGCTGACAGAGCAGCCATATCTGAATCTTTCGTAGTTTATGAATATGGAGAGCCCGGTCCTGGCACTCCCAAGAATAACAAATCAACATCAATATACCCTTCTTCTTTCCTATTGGAGGGGTAGCCCCCCTTCTGTAGCGCTCGCGGATTTTTTCTGGCGATTTTTGCGTGTCCTTTAGTGGGGTAGCCCACCGGCGGTAGCGCTTGCGAGTTTTTTTCTGGCGACTTTTCTCTCGTTTAGCGGGGTAGCCCCCAGGGTCATTGTGGAAAGCGATCAAAGCTAGAAAAAACATAAACAAGAGCTCATCAAAAAACTAGCTACCAAAAAGCTAACTGGAGATACTGGAGTCCTCGGTACAAGATTTGAGTACAAGAGAAATACAGAGACGGAGAATACGGATCGCACCGCATCACGGCTGGGAAAAGACGGTTTGTTTGGAGGGTTTTGGGCAGGGCCGTGCGGGTTGCTACTTGGTTGCTGGATGACTCTTGCACAACCCTGTGTTTTGGGCTTTGGCTGCCTTGCAACCCAACAGTCTCCGAAGAAAAGAGGCCTGGATCAAAGTTGCTGCGGACGGACGACGACGGAATAATCCGGAAATGATGGAAATTGGCTGCGGACCGCCAAAAGACGACGGAATATCCCGGAAATGATGGAATATGAAGGACGGGAGGCCTGGATCAAATTGGCTGCGGACGGCCAAAACGGCACGACGACGAAGTAATCCGGAAATGATGGAGTATGGATGACAGAAACTTTCCGGACATGACGGAACATAAAAGACGGAAAATTGGGACATGAATCCGGAAGTGATGGAATATCGGGACATGAGATCTTTTAACAGCTTCAGGGTTCGTGCCCAAGCACATCATCGAGACCGCCCGTTCATCAGTGCAGACTCATACTGCGCATATCGCTTAGATCTGAAATGCGAGAGTCCCCCGCAATCGAAAGCACGTGTTTTGCATGTTCTTCCGCAATGTGCGTCATGCACTTCTAAAGTCGCTGTCCATAATCCCAGCAGACGTTGCCAGGTAGTGCCATGCAGTGATGCGTTGGCCAGATCAGCATGTCACGCCCAGGCATGAGATCTCCGCAGAGGCAAAAAATCATCAAAGCTTGCTCAGCTTCTGTGATTCCACGGACTGCTACCCTCAGAAGAATGCCGACATGGAGGCACCTCGTGCAAGTAAGTTGAGCGACCCTATGAAAGCCATCTGCACTTCTAGGTTGGCGGTTAGCTGGCTCGGCGCAACTCTCTTCTCAATCCGGCATTCTTTCTTTCAAGCCTTGTCGCTGACACTGCAACAGAACGACTTGCTACTAGCTCAGATTGCAGCATGGGTGTACTAGAAGTGGTTTTCACTTTCAACACATGTGAGTCTGTGGCACGAGTGAACACAAGCACCAGCACGGAGCTTTTGAGCATGACTGCAGAGGAGCCACTGATGCATGCAAAAAGACGAGGAACGACGAACCATAAGTGCAGACATAGATTCGGTGATGGCTTGAACGAAACAGCAGCCCGGGACCCGAGACCAAATTTTTGCATCAAACTACATCATACACCTCTAAGTCGCTGTCCAGAATCCCCGCAGACAAGGAAGAGAGAATAGACAACAGTGCCGCAAGAGCCCGAGGCCGAAACCGAAACTCGGCGCTGCCAGACGAAGCAGGATTAGGCTCAGACGTTGGCTGTTGGAGGGCATGTAGGCCTTGAAGTGCTGAGAAATGCTCTGGGTCTTTGCATCGACTGCGGGCGGGGACAGTGCATCTGTGTCGGCGACCAACTCCGTGGAAGAGAGGGCTTGATTTGCTCCGAGCGTCGATGCAAGTTTTCGCGCATCCAGGGCATGCATGCGCTTTCTTTCAACTCGAAAGGCTGCCAGATATCGGCGATTGCCTCGCTGCCTCTGCCCTAGTTACAAAAGCCTGCGACTGTACGAGTTGCAGCAACAAGCAGAGCCTTCTAGCGGATGGTGGAGCTGTTGTTCCAGAATGTCAGTGTAACAAGCGTAACATATAGAGCTGCTCGGTGCGATTGACCGCGACAGAACGAGAGAATAGCTTGAGAGACAGACGTGCTGATCCTCTGGCAACTGGGTCCTCTCGTTGTCCGCAACAGTGGTTTAAACGGTTTTGGCTTCTTTGAGGCACGAGTCAGCTTGGAACTTCAGGGGTTGCAGAGCTTTGGGTTCTTTAGGCGAATGGCCTCCGTAACAGCTCGCAGGGCGAAGAACCCGTCTTATGCACGGCTAAGGCCCGCCGAAAATTTTACGATTCTTGTGGGTCCTGACGTGATGCACCCAGATGCTCGTCGTCAACTGGATTGTAGAAGCTGTCACAGATGACCTTGGCTATCGACTGAAAATCAAGGGGCTTGGCAAGCTATGTTGGTTGCATCAATCACTGACTATTATATGCGCATATCAAAAAGTACTGGACGCAGAAGTCAGCAGACATGGGCGGCCTTAGTTGAGCCGGAGAGAGCCGAGGATGCGGCGGTTGCAAAGTCGAAGTTGGCCGGAGTCCCGCTCCCACCGCTGTTCAATTCGCGGAAGCATCTCTTCCGTTAGGACCGCCAAGAAGCATCGGTGTCGTCGGACATGGCGAGGGACTTGTTTCTGGAGCCACCGTTGCTAATCTGTTTGCCTGACAGACAGCCAAACATACTCTTGAAATCTCTTGAACTCCTTTGGTTGAGGTGGTCGACTAGTGACGTTCTGCCATGCCTGCAAAGGCGAGGGGTGTTTGATCTCGGGTTCCTGGTTGCCCTGTTGGAGGGATGGGATGGATAACGGCTCGCCCACATGCCAAAATCCTCTGTTTTGAGTCCTTTGCTATTGTCATGTATTTTCGCCGCAGCCAAGCAGAAGCCGGCTTACGCTTCACCTGAAACCCAACGGATGATAGTAGCAAGCAGCACGCAGCCAGTACTTACCGTCAGACATAGCCTCGCCCTACCCAGCGCTTAGCATGACGAGAGCAAGCTGATAGGAACTTTGAACTGGCATCTGCTTCGCTGATTGGTGCGTCCTGGGCGGTCTAGCTGCTTCGTTCCGCTACTGCGGGTCAGTCTGTCCATAGCGAAGCCATGCACAGGCGGTCGAAGCGGCAAAAGCTTGGAACGGACAGCAGCCCTTGGAAGGCAAAGGAGGAGGAGACATTCCATTCTTTTGCCAAGGAAGAGCCATACCAAATCCGGCCACAGGAAGGTGATCAATGTGACGACACCGAGGTGGCCAAGGCTGAGGCGGCACAAGAGCCGACGACCATTAAGGAAGAGTGGGATCAAAATTGGCATTTTCAGACTCCAGCTGCTACGACACAGGATGTCGAGCCGGCAGACAACGAACAGCCCGCAGAGTTCGCCAGGGTTCGCAGAGGGGATTTGACTGCGGCAGACATCATTCGCGGCATCAAGACTGGGGAGTTCGCGGCACTGGCAAACGACATGCGCGACAAGATCGGGATCCCAAATCAGGCGTGGGATGCCATGCACCCGAGGCACGGTGTGTAGGAGATAGAAACAAGCTTCAGGTTTTCGTGAGACGAGTTTCATGCATTGACCCCCAAGCTTGCTGACGTGGTCTACAGGTTTGTTGTTTCATACCCTAGTGTTAGAGACGTAACATGCAACATGAACTGAACTGCAGGCAAGCCGTTGAGAAATTTCTGGAGCGCTACAACGGCCCCGAAGCGGATCGACACAAGTTGTACTACTTCCAGCACAAATGGGATCGCCATCGCTTCTTGTGCACCATGGTCGTGCAGGGATTCCATGGGCGAGAAATCAAAGTAATCTCAAAGAGTCTCTCCGTCCTGGACAAGCCCGCTGCCGAGACAGCTGCGTGTCTAACATTTAAGTTAGATAAAGAAGTAAATGCTGTAAGGCTCAAGCTCCCCGCAGCGATGAAGTTTATTCGCCAGTTTTTCTGCCTCGGTGGAAAACAAAAGGCCGAGCTTACAACTTTAGGTTTTCAGCCTAAAGTTGTCCAATCGGACATCACGACAGCGATTTACAATGGCTTCCGGCCGTTAGGCTGTCAGACATCGTTTTGGGATGCCGACGATGTTGAGACCAAATGATGACAGAGAACAGGACAAGTGAAGGTCATGCTCATGGCGGAGATGACATCCAGGATCCGAGCTGCGGAGTGTCAGGCAGCGATAAAATGAAGCTTGCGTCAGCCAGTGTCATGACAAAGGTAGTGCAGAGTCTGGACCGGAGTCGTTGCGGTGTTCCGCAGATAGGCTGCCCAAGAAGTTCAGCAAGATCCTGAGATTCGCGGCCTGGGGGGCTCGATCCCCAGTCATGGGTCGGGGATGCGTGCTGTATGATGGGGTCAGTGCTCGTTGCTACTCAGGCTTGCAGTGGTGCAGGTCCTGGAATGAGTCCCATGACGTTTTTGGCTTCGCTGCGAGATTGTTCTGGGCTCGGCTCTAAGCTTACTGCACACCCGAAGCCATTCCCTGACACGTTGTTGGAAGTGTTGGCTCGAGCGTTTTCCTTCGAACTCGAACTGTAGGATTGTGCTACATTCATTGCTACGTACTGGTGTCTGCTGTGCTTTTCGAGCGTGGTTTCGAGCAAAGGAAAGAGGCACGCAAAGGATGGTCCAAGAACAGCGTAAGATTTGCTTTTGTTTGCTTGCTGCCCTTTCTTTTCCAACACCGGCTCGCCATCTCTCCTGCAGGCTGACAGTCTTCGCTCGCACTCAGTTTGTGTGCGAACCAGCCCAGGGTGTTAGGCACTGAGCCGCGCCAGGAAGGGTGTTAATAGATCGGCGAAGAATGGGATCGCCCAGAGACGGAATCGGCGAAACCCTCAGGTGGCTCGGGCCGGAGGCTGTGCCTGTGGACCTGTCACACCTTGAAACATCAGGAATTTGTGGGCACTGCAGGAGCACTATGGAGCATGTTTTTCCGACGATATCAGAAAGCCTTGCCAGTGGAACATGAATCTCTGGCAGAACTCTCCGACCCCGAGCACATGCAAAGAACATTGCGCGGAGCTGGGGGGTGCTAAGCCAAGCCACATTCATGGGGTGGGGAGTGCCTGAGTCGTCGCAGTCCCACTACCATGGTCTGGTTTTGCGGCAATTTTCCATCACTGCGGCATTTTCGCCTGCCGCTCATCATGCATACTCGATGTCCGTGAGTTTGATGGCTGCTCCCACAAAACTCTGGCACACGTACTCTTGTCAGGTCACTGTTCCACCTGCTAGCACCCTTACTGGAGGATGTGTGACAGGCTCTACCGGCCGTCAGATCTTGATAGCGTTGAAACTCCCTTTTTCATCGCAGGGTGTTTTCTCCTTTGGAGGCATCGTCCGAGCCAGGAGGGTGGCAGCCATGCAATCTGCAGGGAAGCTTGCCAGGAAGCCACCAAACTCACGACCGTTGCCGCTGACTGCTCGCCTAGCTGGGCACCCGGTTGTGTTGCTCTCGAAGCAGGAGCCCGAGACCGGCTGTCCGCAGGCTTGTCCAAAACGGCTGGTCATGTCCGAGAAAGACTCTGTCAGGGTGCGGGATGCGGTTATGTACTTGAAGGTTTGCAAATTGTCAGAAGGGGGCGTGCGTGGCTTCAGCGCGGCGTGACTATACAGGCGAAGGCAGCTTGCTGCATACGGCATTCACCGTGCAACTTAAAGGCAAGCCCGGTTCCTGACGTAATTCCCCGTGGTGTTCAAATCTGTTCGACTGGACCACTGGGACGGGGCACAGGAAAAGAGGTTTACCATTGTGCAGGCGTTCGAGCTTCGTCGTCTGTGGAACTACACCAACAAGCCGGTTGTTCTTTTCTACGGAGTCTACGGTCTCTGTGAGTCTCTGTGCTGCTTCCGTGAGGGCAGAAAGGTACGGAGGGCCAGATGGAGCGCAAGACAACAGCCAGTAACTAGCACTATGTAGCACTTGCGCCTGACGTCGCGACGACAATTATTGAATTGGAGTCATGTCAGTTGTGCACAAGTCCATAGAGGACTTGCGAGACGGGTGATCGGCTCCGTGTGACTGTCGTTTGAGATTGTGCAATGCCCGGCGCCTTGTGCTTGACGTGTTCTGGCTCGTTACTGGAGGGCTCGGCCCGTTGCCAATGGGCTTGGGGAGTACGCAATTACATCCGATTATTGCTTAGTTGTAGGTGTGTATAATTACAACTGGATAAGAATTGCCAGCCTCGAGCGTTGGGTATCCTTGCAGTTTCACATTTCCACATTTCCCAACTACCGAATCTTTGGGTACCCTTCATGTTTTTCTTAGCCAGGTCTCGAGCCCCTAGCGCCTGCTCTAGAAGGTTAGGTACAAAGCCACAAACTTGTGGACAATGTTCTGTCAAGCCTTACTGTTCAGATGCAACTGCCGGCCCTTAGCTGCACACTATGCTCTAGGTCTTGACCACCCTAGATTTCCTGTTTTGGCCTTTGGCTTGTGCCCTAGGCTTGTAGGGGAACGTGGCCCGAGTCCTGGAAACCACCAAAAACAAGAAACGTCTGATGTTGGTCTCTGCCTTGTGCCCTAGGCTTAGCGCCTGGAAACTACCAACATAAGGAACCTGGTCCCCCACATTTGGATTCTGCCTTGTGGTGCTGGAAAGCACCACAGCCCACTACATTTCTTATGTTGGCTTCTGGCTTGTGCTGTGGGCTTAGGGCCGGGAAACCACCAAAACAAGAAACATAGCCCCCTACATTTTTGGCTTTCGCCTCATGCCGTAGAGCCTGGAAACCACCAAAAACACGTAGCCCCACTACATTTGTTCTTTCCTTGGTCTAGGAGGCTTGGGAACACCATAGAAACCTAGCAGTAAGAAACGTAGCTTGCTACATTTCTCATTTTAGTTGCTTTTAAGGCTTGGAGCCACCCAGCCAAAAAAGAAATTACACCAAGATGTATTTCTTAACCACACCGTTTCTTGTACAGTGATTGCACTGTAGTCACTGTAGTACCGTGTCAAAGTGATGGCTGTTGAGGAATGCGGTCGCATTTTGACGATGTTCGCATTCTGTCTAGTTTGCTGGCCTTGCCGCCCGCGAGATGTGCCCTGAGAATCGTTCTGGCTGCTTGTCCTCATGCAGCTACATTGTTACCTTCATTTTTGAGGCTTTGCTCTGTCGTCCAGTCGTTGGTTCGTAAAGTTGAGCCTAACAACTAAAAAACATGCCTGTCTTGTCCAGTAACTTCGCACTGACACGGCGGTCGAGAAGACGATACGAGCTGATAGTACACGCTGCTCAGAAGCCCGTGTGGTGTGGGTGCTTGCCCAACTCTTGAGCTGCAGTTGGAAATCCATTAGGGTAAGGGCAAGACCGGTGCTTGGATTTCGGTCGCACTTCAGTCGTCCCTTGCACGGCGAGTTTATGCTCGGGACATGTGTGCTATGCAGGGATTGGCAACAGGATGCTAAGAAGCTCGTCGCAGGCAGCATTGGAGGTTGTTTGGGAGTTCCTGACATGAAAACATGTTTGTCTCTCATGCGCTGTCTTCAGGCGGTGCATCCCGCGACAGACGGTCTCGAGGTGTGGAGTTCTTACGTAGTGGTCCGTGAATTCGAAACTGTGCCTGCGTCAAGGCCTTTGTTGGGCTGCCGCTGAGATGCTACTGAGTTGCTGATCCTCGCCAGGCTCACCGAGGAATGGGTGCTCCAGAAAAGAGCACGAATCCTTAATAGCCCAAGCAGAGCAGAGAGGCAGAGACCGCTACCATCTGCTGCTGGATGCTTGTTGGCGGCATTTTGCGGCTTGCAGCTTTCGGCTCAAATAGCTCAAATCTTCACTTCCCAGCTGTCGGTGATTCTCTTCCTCCAGGACAGTCCTGGGATTGTAGGTGGGTGAGCGGGTTCGCGGTTCTTCTAACAGAGCCGAAGGATGCAGCAAGTGCTGAAGTACATCCGCAAGGAGCGCAGAATTCCTATCAGCCATTGCCGTGCTCTCAACGACGAATATCCATGTGGTTGATCAGATTATCGCATATCCAGGACTCGAATCCTCCAAGGTCGTTGCAAGCAAGGCATTTGTTCACGCTGAACCAGGCACCATCTGCACCGGCTGAGGGCTTAGGGCACCAAAGCATTCGTCCCACTGCAAGCTCGTGCTTTTGGTGGGGGATGTGCAGGGCTTTCAGTTTTCCCACACATTCGCAGCCACGGAAGCTGCATCTTCATCAAGCGATTCACCAGGTGAGAGGCCCCGAGATTTCGAATTTCTTCGTGCGCGAATCGGGGAAGCTCATCGGGCATCTTGGCTTTGCAGATGTGAGTTGATCGAATCTGTTCGTCCGATGCCCCTGTCGATGCTGCATGTGAGGCTCTCCAACCACGAACTGGGCGCTGACGCCCATTGGAATGCGGTGAGGACTCAGCATCTTTTCCATAGATTGTAGAGAATGCCAAGGCTGCTCCAGAGTTTTCGAATCAGGCGGCAGGCAACACAACTAAGATATCAGCAACAGTTAAGTAAAATACCGATTTGGGGTATGAAGACGGATGAAGCAAGATCCGAACGAGATCCCAGCTGCCCTTCGAACTCCTAGAGATAACGTGATGCAGCGAGGCACTGAGCCTGTGATTCTACCATAGCAAAGAGCAAAAACCTTGTTGCATTCCATGACCATGACCATGACCATCGCCAGCACCGCCAGCCACCAACCAGGCAACCAACCACCAGTCACCGCCGCCACCCGTGACCCATCACCCGCCGCCCACCGCCGACTCACCATCCACTCATCCACCAACCCACCACCCACCACCCACCACGACGCAGGTTTCTCTTGTTATGGCATCTTTGAAGGGGGCGCCCCTTCGCGGATTCTAAGCCTTCCCTTGACCCTTCTCCTCCTCCGTTCCCCTAACCCCGTTTCTGTTATCGAATCAACTCCGGTTGGATTTTGGACTGTTCGCTGTGCTAGCTGGATACACTCCTCGCCCCTCTTCCCGGCTTTATTGAAGGGTTTCGGGGCACTTTAATGGCATCTTTGGCAAGCCTTCCTTCCCCAGCTTCTGTGTGTGCGTGATTTAGGGTTGGATTTTGGCCCGTTCGCGTTGAATGCAGTGAGCGTGGGACCATCATGTCCAACACTCTAGAACTGTT